CTCCGGGTCTTGGGAGGCTCCTCCGGCTGCAGGAAGGCACTTACTGCCCTGTCCTGGCAGAAGGAAGAGCAGGACTATTTGTTTTGGGGGTTTAACAAGCACATTGAGGAATCCTTGCAAAACCTTGAGAAATCTGTCTCGGGGAGGGGCTGCCCTTCTAAACACATTCATTTAAGCCGGATATATGACTAATTAGTGGGGTAGAGGTGATGGCTCGGAGGCTGGGGATCAGCCACGCTTGCCTTGGGGGCCCACAGCGGCTGGCCGGCCCGGAGGGGTGAGGACTCGGGTTAGTCATTTCATTTATTTGGTGCAAGAAACCCCTCCCTGCTCCCAGGGGTAAATTCGTAGGAAATAAGGGAAGCATTCTTGAGGAGAGCGGGTTTTCTCGGCCCCCTCCAGCTGCCTATGTCCCTGATCGGGTGGAGATTTGGGGGCAGGGGTGGAGATGGATGCGGAGAGCTCCCCATGCCCAAACCCCTCTGCTCGCCGCAGCCCAGAGGCGCCCAGTCCAGTGCTATGACCCTGCTAAGAACCAGCATGTGAAAAGGGGTTACTCAATCAACGTTTGAGCAGAAGACGTGGTTTCCATGGCAATGGGCCATCAGCCCCAACTGGTACAAAATGAGCGTTTAAAAAAAAAAAAAAAGGTACCAAAATGTTTCTTAAAAAAAAAAAAAAACTGAAAAGGGTCATTTATTAAAAATCAAAAGATACAAAAGCACCTCTGCCAGCTTACACTCTGCCTGCCTCCTGGAATTTCTTAAAGAGCAGTTCGTCAGCCCGAAGGGCGAAGGTGAGAGCCCGTTTCTGGTAGTAGGCGGAGTCGGTGGCCAGGTTGTCAATCACGTCTGCCAGGAGATGGGCTCTCTCGACGGAGCTGCCCGGCGCGTCGTAGCCCAGGGCGGTGAAGTGCACGTGCAGGTGGTAGTAGGAGGGCTGGTAGTGCAGGTAGATACGCAGCTGGGATCCCGGCACGCCGAAGCGCTTCGCCACGGCCTCCTACGGAGGGAAAAAAACCCCAGGGGTCAGGAGCAGCGACGAACAGCGAGGGGTGGCTGGGGGCGGGCAGCGCAGGGACAGACCCGGTGACAGGGAAAGGAGCATCCCCGGATAGCGGAGAGAAACTCAGAAGGGCTTTCTGCTTCCTCCATCCAGGGGGAGTTGGCAAGGACAGAGCTCTTCCCCATCCTCCATTTCAGCCTCCACAGGGATGGAGGCAGCCTCCAGCTGCCCGGCTTTTCTCCCTCCTCTCTCCGCTCGGATCGTTTTCCTTTCCACCCTTATCGCTTCGGCAAGTTACGGGGATCTCGTTACCAGCCGGTGTAATTAAAGCTATAAACAGCAGCGGCCAACTCGGGCACGCTGGCTTGGTGTGCCGCTCAGCGCGCTGCAATCCCCTGACTAATCTCTTAATTAATCTCCACTTTCCCCAGTGAAATGACTTTCCAAATTTCTAAGGCAGCGAAGGAAAGAAACGCTATCTGGCATCCATCTACCCAGCATGTCACGGGGCTGGAAAAAACTCGTCGGCCGGAGAAAACGGTCAAAGGGGTCAGGAAGTTAACAACGTGGGGAGGACAGGGCTCCGCTCCCTGCTCAAGGAGAAAGGGAGCGCCCCCGAAACGCTCCAGACACAGTACACCTTCCTGCTGCCCTGGGGGGAAGGTGCCGACAGCGCAGCAGGGACCAGGGTCTCTGGGTGGCGACGCCAGAGCGGGCGGCGCAGGCCTGGTTGGCGACGCACCGTCGTCTCTTGGGTGCTGGTCCCCGTGCTGTGTGCAGGTCCCTCAGGAAGCTGCCGGGGAGGGCAGGGAGGCCGTGCCCTCCCCAGCCAGGCCGACGCTCTCGGATCAGCCCCGTGCTCACCTTGCCCTCCTGCAAGATGTTCCGCAGCAGCGGGAGGTGCTCAGCGGTGAGGTCCCGCAGCGACTTGACCTGCCGGCAGCGAACGAGCGCGATCAGGTAGAGGTCATCCAGCTGCCGAGACACGAAGGATGGTGACACAGCGACCACGGCAAGAGCAGACGGAGGCACAAGCACCTTGGCCACGGCACACCAACTGCGGCTTCCCAGGCTACGTTAAGGCGCCACCCACCTCACGCGGACCCCGCACCCATGCTGGGGGGAACCCAGTACGAGACGCGCTCACCCCACAAACCCACCGCACCTCAAAGCACCGTTTCTGGACAAACTGGGTTTTGTGCAGGACAGAACAGTGGGATCACAAATACCTCCTCAGCTTTACCGGCAGACTGATCGTCTTTTCAACCATACGTACTGGCCGCTGCGCTTGCGCGTTCACATCTCCCCGAGCATCCCCAGATCCTTGTCCCAGAGCAGACTGAGGCTTGGCAGAAAAGGAGCGGGCACCCACCCTGTCACGCGGGGGCAACCGAGGCACCCACCGGCCTGAATCCATGAGGCCGCGGGGTCCGCCAGCCGCCCCCAGGCGCAGAGGCCGCGCCGAGCTCGGCCTTTTCTGCAGAGCAAGCAAACGGTTTATCTCCACACTCAGACAAGGATTTACAGTGAATCGCAGCAGCCAAAACTCCAACTGTGGATTTTGCCAAGGGAAAAGCTTCCTATACTCCCACCGTGCAAACAGCCGGCCACTTTCCAGTCGCGCCAGCTCTATAAATGACCATTTTCGAGACCTGATTGGTCACCAGACAACCCCAGGGCAGTAAAGTACAGCGTTTCAGCAGCTCTCTGCCAGCCCTTTGGCATCTCCCGAAGCACTCACCGACTTCCATGTTTAACAAGACACAGGGCTGTGGATCATTTTGCTTTGAAAAAGAAAGAAATCATAGAAATCCCCCATCTCCCTCAGCTCCTTAGTGGCTAATACAACCCCTGCAAAGCAAAGGGTTTAGATAGTGGAGGGCCAGCAGATCTTTTCAGGGCTGTGAGAAACACATCTGGCTATTTGGAAACACATGTTTGTGCCAAAAGATGCTCTCAGGACCCTGGCTCGGGGCCCTCAAAACACGAAGCTGCTATTTGCACCCAGCCAGGACGGTGATACCGACGGTTCCGTTTGATTCCCAAAGCAGCCCGTGCACACCTCCAGAAAAAGAAGTTATCAGCTTGTCCTCTTCGCACCAGGGCTGGCTAGGGGAAGGAAATGCAAACACCTCTTCTCCTCAGGACAACATCTGCATGTTGCTGTTTGAAACAAACAAGCCTGTTGCTAAAAAGTCCCTGAATGATGTCATTTTGGGCATCCTTTCAGGCGACGCCTCGGGGCTCCGGCGGGTTTGAAACCAACTCAGAAGAAGCAAGGGGGGAAAAAAAAACACGCTAAAAAAAAATTTAAAGATTACCTACCCTAAAAACCACCTCAAGCCACTATCAAGGACCTCTTCAAGGCTCTCTCACCGCCCTGATTTATTCAGGAGCCTTGCCCCTTCGGTGGGATGCAGCAGAAAGAACGGGTGCTGACAGGCAGCCCCGGGGTCAGCTCTGGCTCGGCATTTTTTTTCAGCCGAGAGGAAACTCCTTGCCCCAGCAGTAGAAGCCAAGAGCTTTCAGCCCATCCGTCTCCGACCCTGACGTGAGCTGCAAAGCTTGGTTGCAGCAAGGGAGGATCTACACTGAAGCTTTGCTCAAAAGGAGGAAAGGAGAGGCGTGCTGCGCTTTTTAGAACTCCTAAACATTGCCAGTCTCAAAGTAAAGGGCACTGAATGAGGCGCGGGGGCATAAGCCCAACCAAGCAGGTCGTGCCTCCCAGTGCAAAAGTGGAAATTCAGGCTCGGTTACCCCATCACAGCTTGAGGAGGGATTTCTGGAGCAGCTGAAATGCAGGGAATCCACAGTGACTGCAGGGCTCACCTGTCCTCCCCGCATC